TGTCAGTAATGCCGGGGTGAGATGGTATCTCATTGTGGTTTTAATTTGCATTTCTCTAATGGCTGGTGATCACAAGCATTTCCTCATGCGTCTGTTGGCCATTTGAATGTCTTCTTTGGTGAAGTGTCTGTTCATTTCCTTTGCCAATTTTTTAATAGGATTGTTTGTCTTTTTGTTGTAGAGGCATTGTCCAGCTTTTGCATGCATATGAGGCAACTGAAAATACCATGGCTTGGGTCAGGCACCCTTTAGTGACATCTTAGATAAAGTACAGTTTTCCAAATACCACTGCCTTACCAATCTATCTTCTCTGCTGCCCATGAGGCTACTGTCAGTTAGCCTGTCTGACACCTCTCTGGGTCATCTCCACTCTCTCCCATGCTCATTCCATGCCAGCACTTAGGCCTTTGCTGTTCCTCAAATACTCTGGTTCACGCCCACCTTGAGGCTTTTGCACTTGTCCTGCCTATACCTGGAATGTTCTCCCGCAGACAACCACAGGGCTCTCTCCCATGCTGCCTTCAGGTGTCAGCTCAAATATACAACTTCTCAGGTGACTCCATAAATAATAGCAGCCCCTCCTGGCACTCCTATTTCCACAGCACGTGTTATTGGACATACTGTACGTATGACATCTCCTCCATCAGAATCTAAACTTCCTGAGGGCAGCAGTTTTTGTTTTACTCAATGCTGTACTCCAGCTCCTGGAACAGTGTCTAACAATAAATACTGTTGACCAAATTAGTGAATGAATACATGAATTTAAGATGAGAAGAACATGGATTTTATCCCTGTAAGCTAAAGATTCTTCAATGTGTAGTTAAGTGAGAGGCTACAATTTAGGTAAACATCACATTTATTTCTGTAATCTTCCACTTATTAATATTTGATGTCATTTTAGGATCTGAAAATTGGACTACAAACAGAAATTTGCTTTTAACTTTAAAACATTATGACGGCTTATAATAAACCTAAAAACATAAATGCGGAAACATAAAAGTTAAAATTTCCAAAAGGAGCCCTCATTTGACTCAAGTAGGTGGTGTATTTAAGAGAACGTATACAATTGTGCATCGAAGGACATTATTAAAAAACAGTGGAAAAAAAAAAACCCTACAGAATGGGAGAAAATAGTTAGAAATCATATTATCTGATAAGAGTTTAATATCCAGAACATATAAAGAACTCCTACAACTCAACAACAAAAAGAAAAACAGTCCAATTAAAAATGGGCAAAGGACTCGAACAGACATTTTTCTAAAGACAATATGCACATCATTAGAGAACTGCAAATCCAAACCGCAACAAGGTACCACTTCACACACACTATGATGGTTATTAAGGAGTCCCTGGGTAGTACAAACGGTTAAGCGCTGGACTAGCAACCAAGAGGCTGGTGTAAGGCCTGGTGATCTGCCTCCGAAAGGTCACAGCCTTGAAAACTCTACGGAGCAATTCTACTCTGCACACATGGGGTCGCCATGAGTCAGAACTGACTTGATGGCAACTAACAACGGAGCCCTGGTGGCGCAGTGGTTAAGAGCTACACAGTGTGCTACAGCTGCTAACCAAAAAGGTCGGCAGTTCGGTAATAGATATTATATAAAAAAAGGAAAATAACAAGTGTTGGCAAGGATGTGTAGTATTGGCACCCTCACACACTGCTGGTGTGAACGTAAAATGGTGCAGCTGCTGTGGTACATACACACAACAGAATAACATTCAACAAATAAAAGGAATGAAGTTCTAATACATGCTATCACCTGGATGAACCTTGAAAACATTATGCTAAGTAAGTCAGACAAAAGGACAAATATTGTATGATACCACTTGTATGAAATACCTAGACTATATAAATGCACAGGGACAAAAGTAGATTAGTGATTACCATGGGTAGGAGGGAGGGGATAATGGAGTTACTGCTTAGCGGGCCACAGAGTTTCTCTTTGAGGTGATGAAAATGTTTGGAAGCAAACAGTGGTGATGGTTGTACAACACTGTTAATATAACTAACACCACTGAAGTGTATACTTAAAAATGATTAAAATGGTAAATTTTGTTATGTTTTATCACAATTAAAAAGGTAGAAAAAACTGTGTAGAAATAGAAGTAATTATTCTATTTGTAAGAATGAAAAAGGGAGTTAACTAGATAAAACACGCAAGTCTGCCCACATAATAAAGCCCACCTTAAACCACCCGAAAACGACGAGTTCAGAACGCTGGAATCATGTTATCCCCTGGCTTTTCTGCTCCAAAAGGCCCCAACAAGTCAAAACTTTGAAATGAAAACACAGGAGTCCTGCAATA